CGCCTCTCACTCTGGTTAGTCCGGGGTGGATCGAGTCCCTTAAGCAAATTGCGTAATCTTGAAAAGAGGAAAACAATAAATTCTTTCAAAATTCTGTTTTGAAGAGTTGTAAACTCAATTATAACTAAAACATGTAACCTAAAACTTTCCAACAAAATTCCAGTGCTTTGAGACAAAGATTTGAGAAAATATTTTTTGTTTGATATTTGATCTTTGGATTTGAACAGTGTTTAAATGTCACATAATAATTAAATATTATATTAAATGGACTAATATAATATCTATATTTATGTAACTGCCTTATGTTATCATGCGGGCCAATATGTTTTTTTGACGAGATTTAACTTTTTTGTCTGTTTAAGGTTTAAATTCAATTTTTAAATGTTAATAATTTGCCTTGGAACAAATAAAAAACTTTTTATATCCAATATCATGAAATTGCAAGTAAAAATGCGGGATAAAAATTCTCTCTAAAATGAATAAATGTTGCTTTTCATGCCACCATGTTTTTTTGAACATACCAAATTTTACAGATTTTCAGTTTTCATTTGTAGATTTTAAAAAAAATATTAAAATATAAATTTTTGTGGAGCATCTTTTAAATTTCGACACGGGCCCGATCAGATCTACCATTTCGGTTCTGCCGTTTTAACGTTTATTTGTTACAAACAATTTGCAAATTCATCTTTTATGTCGGGGTATAAAAACTGAAACTGATAAGTTTATCATATGTACAGGATGTATGCGTAAACCTATTTAAATAATAATATTCTCGACATGCCTCCTCTCCATCAATGTATACATGTATATATACTAGGTATACTTAAACTTTAGACCTTACCTCAAGGCTAGTAAGAGGTGAGGAGGAAGGGGGGGAGGGATGTAAGAATAAAGTTGGTATATATTATGTAATTTACCAATCACCCACCCCCCTTGTTTTCCAAACCTATAGTTTCCAATTTACATACATCCTTGTCTAGATCTTAATCTCATCCTTCCTTCTTACACTGACAGTGTCACACTCCAATTATGTTGTGTTACATTCACATCTTTCAATCCTTTCCTCATAACTCTTTAAACTTTCTAAATACTTTCTTCTTTTATATGTAGATACTTTCCTGGGGACCCTGACATTCTAAATTCTATCTTCTTTTCTAGATATACCTTTATCTGAGAACCCTGACTTTCTATATACTATCTTCTTTTCTAGATATGCCTTTATCTGACCTTCATTTTCAATTATATACCTCTTTAAGCCTGTCTTCTGCCTTCAAGTATAAAAACCTGTATTTACCCTAAATTTTTTATGATTTAATTTGCTTTATTTTCCCTACATTTTCTATGATTAATTGCCTTTATTTGCCCTATATCTGTCTGCGTTCTCTGTATCTGCCTCTATAGAATAGTTGGCTTTATCTATCCTATATCTATCCTCTATCTGCCTGTATCTGCCTCTATGTTACAATTGCCTCCATACCTTTTTCAACATTCCATCATTGTAGCTGCCCATTATATCATTGTTGAGCTTAAAAGGGGCCGCGAGGTTGATCTAAGGTTGATATCCCAGTAAAGGGTCGATTGGTTGATCTAAGGTTGATATCCCAGTGAAAGGTTGATAGGTTGATCTAAGGTTGATAACCCCAGTGAAGGGTCGATAAGTTGATCTAAGGTTGATATCCCAGTAAAGGGTCGATTGGTTGATCTAAGGTTGATATCCCAGTGAAAGGTTGATAGGTTGATCTAAGGTTGATAACCCCAGTGAAGGGTCGATAAGTTGATCTAATGTTGATAATCCCAGTGAAGGATCGATAGGTTGATCTAAGTTTGATAATCCCAGTAAAGGGTCGATAGGTTAATCTAAGGTTGATAATTCCAGTGAACGATAGGTGTGCTAAAGCTGGTCGATATCCTCTCTTTCCACTACGCTTCCATAGTCGCAAATAAGAAAACATCTGTATTTCAAACCTGTAATGAATTACAGGTATTAATTATGGGGAACAATATTTAAATGTAGTTAAATGTTGGTACAAATCATTATAATATTTGATAAACAAAACTTCCTGTTATGAGGTAGGTAGGGGAAAATGAGAGATGGATCAAGGAGAATAAAACGTTTTGTGATTTCCAATAAATAAATACACGGTTGGTTCCAAATTTGTGTGTGTTTGTAGCAATAATCACGAATTGAAGCATTTACAATATTAAACGTGTTTCACTTTTGACGGTGTTGCGTCTATTTGCCGGAGAAAAGTTGGGGTTGGCTCTGGGGGTATGATTTGGTTTAAGACGACATTTTACTAAGAAAGATTATAAGGTTTATGGTCTACAATCTTTGAGTAAAAATAAACAGAAAAATGTTAAAAATCATCACGAAGTAAAAGAAACAATCCACCACCAGTTAATCAAAGAATGAAAAAAAAACAACTATCCTATTGTTTAATTGCAGGGAAAAGTTCAAAACCTCTATATTTTTGAAGAACCTCCGCAATAACATAATTTTACTATTTTTTTATATATTTCAAAAATAAATTACTTACTGACTTACTTTAATTGCCTCTAAGCTCTTCATCTGCCTCCAAATCTGTAATTATCTGCCTGGAACTGCCTTTATCTAACTTTAATCTGTCTTCGGTCTCTCTAATATCCGTTTCATCTGCCCCCCAACTGTGGCCAAATATTCCAAACCTATATTATTTCCAGCTAATAAACCTCAAACCAATCTTTCTCAGATTCATGAAAGAAAAAATGTAAAGAAATCTTACAAAAAAGAAATCAGGGAAATCCGGGCTCTGAGCGCCCAACAGACTAGTTAGCAACAAGCTATGACCATGAGCAATGAGCAAATCGTTTTTTTAAAGAGGCGGGGTGTTAGATAATAAGAGAAATTTTTGACATAGCTTTTATTTGGGTAGAAATTTGAAAAGTACTGTATAATTATTATTTGAAAAATCCCAGAAAGTTATAAATCTAACGTTTGCTTACACTGCACCAAAAAGACTTGAATTGAATTGAGTTTTTGCCCAAAACTCTGATCTTTTAATCCCTATATCTTTGCAACCCGATGTCGGACTCGGAGACCTTTGATATTTCGAACTAATAATTTTGTTTTGTTTGAGTTTTAAATATAAAAGATAAACGAACAAGTGATAAGCAAAGGAATTGAGTCGTTGCCACAAACTAATCAATATATCTTTGCAACCTAATGGTATAAAACTTTAATATTTCAAACTTAGACTATTTGATCTAACAGAATATTTAGTTTGAAATATCCAAGGTCTACGACATATGGTTGCAAAGATAAAGGGATTAGAAAATCAGAATTTGTGGCACAAACTCATTTTCTTTAAGTTTATTGCAAGAACTCAGTTCCTTTACAGGTTCCAAACAATGATTTACGATTAAAAAATTAAATTTTCAGTTCACCCATCTAGGCCTATTATCATAATATTTTCACCCTCAAATTTACAAATATATCATGGAATTTAGTAAACCTTTTTTCATAATGTTGTTTCACAGTACAGTTTGATTTTTGAGCCTTTTCCTAGACAAATTTCACAAATTTGCAAAGCAATGAATTAACGTAAATTTGAGTTATTGCCAAGAATTCAGTTTTTTTTAACTTCAATGGCCGAATTTAAAGAATTTGAGCGGCGGTTTAAATTTAAGCCGCGGTTTAAATATAGTTGGTTCCACTTAAAATTGTATCAAATGTTTCAAAATTTAAGCCGGCGCTGAATTTAAACCGGGTTTTGGCGGATTTAAACCGCGGCTAAAATTCTTTAAATTCCATCTCAGTTGTCACTAGAATTATGTGTGCATGAACAAATAGTAATCATCTAAAGCTAAATTGTAATATTTCTCAGTAAAATACCAGCACATCAGCTAACAAATACACTACAAGAAAAGGAAAAACCTAAATTGAAAAAAGTGTAAAATATATATGTTATATATTATATGAGGATTAATGGAAGAAATTAGTTGAAGATAATGAGAATACTAAACATAAAAGGGCCGCGTGGAATAGATACTAAAATAAAGAATATTGTAATTCCTACAATATGAGACGAATTGTTCCGAATACTGATGTATTATTTATTAGAAATGTTTAAGATGAATGCTTAGACCAAAGTCATAAACTTAAAAGAGTTATACGAATACACAAACCGAGTACTTTTCGAAACTAAGTTTTTTTGGCGGAATGAAAGAATTGTTTGCCAAAAACTCAATTTTTCTATTCCCTATGTCTTTGCAACCTGATTGGGTAAACCTTTGATATTTCAAACTCAGATGACTACTTGATCCAACAGAATTCATAGTTTGAAAAAATATAGAGATTAAAAATCAGAGTTTATGACAAGAATCAAGTTCCCTTGTATTGCGAAATATTTCTTCTGTAGTTTACTTTTAATAGATTAATTGTAGGTTTAGAAACAAATGTTTAGAAGCTAAGACGGGTTCCCCAAACCCTCTTTTTTGATAAATACAAATACTTTTTTAAATAAACTATAATAATCATTTAACAACTAATAATATAGAGCCAACTTTGTATTTTGGTCTGAACTTTTCGACACTTAAAACTTTTGTATTCTATCCTATCCCAGATCTTAAAACTGCTAAACGCTTATTTTATTTCCAATATTTTTTTTTATCGAAATAGTTTAGTAAAAAACGCTGCTATTAATACCTTGAAGTAATTCTTAAATTAAGAATTATTTACTTCAACGAAAACGGGTGTTGATTCCAGGGATCGTATTTACTTCAACGAAACCGGGTGTTGATTCCAGAGATCGTATTTACTTCAACGAAACCAGGTGTTGATTCCAGAGATCGTATTTACTTCAACGAAACCGGGTGTTGATTCCAGGGATCGTATTTACTTCAACGAAACCGGGTATTGATTCCAGGGATCGTATTGATGTAAAAAATTCCAATCTCAAGGGGAAAAGGAAGATGGACGGTTTTGTAAACAATTCTTGTTTTTATACAATTTCATAAATGTTTCAGGACTGAGAAGAATAATAAACGGACATCTGTAAAATGGAACCAAGACCCTTTCCTATTATTATCTGTCTTCTACTAACCCTAGGTAGGATTCATCTGTACTTTTAACTCTAGGTAGGATTCATCTGTACTCTTAACCCTAGGTAGGATTCATCTGTACTCTTAACACTAGGTAGGATTCATCTGTACTCTTAACACTAGGTAGGATTCATCTGTACGCTTAACTTATAGGTAGGATTCATCTGTACTCTTAACACTAGGTAGGATTCATCTGTACTCTTAACCCTAGGTATGGATTCATCTGTACTCTGAACTTTAGGTAGGATTCATTTGCAGTGACTCTGTACTCTTAACACTTGGTAGGATTCATATGTTCTCTTAACCCTAAGAGGGATTCATCTGTACTCTTAACCGTATGTATTTCATCTGTACTCTTAACACTAGGTAGGATTCATCTGTACTCTTAACCCTAGATAGAATAAATACGGATAAAAGGTATAATATCATGTTTATTTTTAACATTAATACATAATACTAATAGTCCTAAAGATTAGATGAATTCACTAGGAAAACACTAATCTCAGCTTGCCAAAACACACAAAATAAATGATCCTTAGTCACCATAAACACAGAACATTAGAAAAAATAAAAGAACTAGATATTTATCACATTATTAGCATATTTGTAATAGACATTAGTAGACATTTATGTCATATTTACATAAAACTATTTCCTAATGGATTGTTAAAGCTTTTGACCAATGTTTCTGCAAAACTCAATATTCTTAGTTTTCTATCTGTAAATTGAAAATTTGTATTGTGGATTATCAGTAAAATTTACTTGCAAATCTATGCAGCAGAGACAGAAAAGTAAATTGACAGAAATTTTTTCTATTCAAGACTGAATAACGACGATATTTTTCTCATAGTTGCTCGTGTGTAAAGGTTTAAAAAAAGGATTAAAATCTAAATTCAAAACTAGACCGATTCTTATAAGTCTGAATTTTCTTAAAATAGGCGCAAATTGAAAATATATTTTCAAATGCAAAACTAATTTTACAGATTACACAAAAACCGCGATGACATTTTCTTGAAAAACCCCGTTTTCATTTTTCTCCACACCAGGGTATATATATTTGATCCCCGTTTTCCAGACTGATGAATGCTCCCTTTAATGCAGAAAGTCTGGAATAATATTTTTAGACTAGAGTCGGAGCAGGAAATATAAGAGTATATGTAGAGAGGAGGAGAATAATATGATGGCAAGGTGTAATAGATATCTGGGATATCTGGGGAATTTCATTGTATTTTCCTGTGACTGACGAAGACTGCTTAGAAACAGGTTTAGCCCTCTCCCTGTTGGGCTAACTTTGTAAAATATAGGTATAAAGAATTGCTTTTTTGACTAGAAAGGATTGTCAGATCATATAGATATATCTATGTATATACTATGGTTGTTTACACCATACATATTGATGTATTTCTTCTAGAATATTCTTTAGTAAACCCACTCTACCATTTATATATACATTTACATATATTTATAATGGTGTTCAGACGCAATGAAAAGGAATATAATATATAGAAAATATATAGATATACATCATATTTTTCCCAATGGACTGAACAAGGTTTTAAGATAGATGGATTCTCTTTAGTTATCTCAACATTTAAGGTATCAAGAATATTAAATTGAGAAAAAACTGCGACAACAGAAAAACCTAAATCATCTTTATATTATCTAGGTTTGGCTAGTTGTTCCTGGTAAATAGATAAACCTTTATTTTATCTAGGTTTATCTAGTGGTTCCTGGTATCTAGATAAACCTTTATATTATCTAGGTTTATCTAGTGGTTCCTGGTAAATAGATAAACCTTTATTTTATCTAGGTTTATCTAGTGGTTCCTGGTAAATAGATAAACCTTTATTTTATCTAGGTTTATCTAGTGGTTCCTGGTATCTAGATAAACCTTTATATTATCTAGGTTTATCTAGTGGTTCCTAGTAAATAGATAAACCTTTATTTTATCTAGGTTTATCTAGTAGCTCTGTTATCTTTCTTAACTTTTATATTATCTAGGTTTATCTAGGGGTTCCTGGTTTCTAGATAAACCTTTATATTATCTAGGTTTATCTAGTGGTTTCTGGTAAATAGATAAACCTTTACTTTATCTAGGTTTATCTAGTGACTCTTGGTTTCTAGATAAACCTTTATATCATCTAGGTTTATCTAGTGGTTCCTGGTAAATAGATAAACCTTTATATTATCCAGGTTTATCATAGTAGCTCCGGGTATCTAGATAAACCTTTATATTATCTAGGTCTATCTAGTGGTTCTTGGTAAATAGATAAACCTTTATATTATCCAGGTTTATCTAGTAGCTCCGGGTATCTAGATAAACCTTTATATCATCTAGGTTTATCTAGTGGTTCCTGGTTTCTAGATAAACCTTTATATTATCTAGGTTTATCTAGTGGTTCCTGGTAAATAGACAAACCTTTATTTTATCTAGGTTTATCTAGTGACTCCTGGTTTCTAAATAAACCTTTATATCATCTAGGTTTATCTAGTGGTTCCTGGTATCTAGATAAACCTTTATGTCATCTAGGTTTATCTAGTGGTTCCTGGTAAATAGATAAGTCTTTATTTTATCTAGGTTTATCTAGTGACTCCTGGTTTCTAGATAAACCTTTATATCATCTAGGTTTATCTAGTGGTTCCTGGTAAATAGATAAGTCTTTATTTTATCTAGGTTTATCTAGTGACTCCTGGTTTCTAGATAAACCTTTATATCATCTAGGTTTATCTAGTGGTTCCTAGTAAATAGATAAACCTTTATATTATCTAGGTTTATCTAGTGGTTCCTAGTAAATAGATAAACCTTTATATTATCTAGGTTTATCTAGCGGTTCCTGGTTTCTAGATAAACCTTTATATCATCTAGGTTTATCTAGTGGTTCCTGGTTTCTAGATAAACCTTTATATCATCTAGGTTTATCTAGTGGTTTCTGGTAAATAGATAAACCTTTATATTATCTAGGTTTATCTAGTGGTTCCTAGTAAATAGATAAACCTTTATATTATCTAGGTTTATCTAGTGGTTTCTGGTATCTAGATAAACCTTTATATTATCTAGGTTTATCTAGCGGTTCCTGGTATGTAGATAAATTTTTTATATTATCTAGGTTTATCTTGTGGTTCCTGTTATCTAGATAAACCTCTATATTATCTAGCTAGGTTTATCTAGTGGTTCTGTTACCTAGATAAACCTTTATATTATCTATGTTTATCTAGTGATTCCTGTTAGCTAGATAAACCTTTATAATATCTAGGTTTATCTAGTAGTTTCTGGTATCTAGATAAACCTTTATATAATCCAGGTTTATCTAGTGGTTCCTGTTATATAGATAAACCTTTCTGTAATCCAGGTTTATCTAGTAGTTTCTGGTATCAAGATAAAACCTTTATTTTATCTAGGTTTATCTTGTGGTTCCTGTTATCTAGATAAACCTTTATTTCATCTAGTAGCTCTAGTATCTATCGTAACCTTTATATTATCTAGGTTTATCAAGTGGCTCCTGCAGTATCTAGATAAACCCTTATATTATTTAGGTTTATCTAAAACTTGATATTATCTAGGTTTTCTAGTAGCTCTAGTATCTATCGTAACCTTTATATTATCTAGGTTTATCAAGTGGCTCCTGCAGTATCTAGATAAACCCTTATATTATTTAGGTTTATCTAAAACTTGATATTATCTAGGTTTAGCTAGGGACTCCTGGTATCTATCTAAACCTTTATTTTATCAAGGTTCGGCTGGTGGTTCCTGGTACCAAGATAAGCTGGAAGGAACCAATGAACCCTCCTTTAAGATTACTGGTTCTATCCTTAATGTTACTGCAGTAGAAGGACGGAGAGCATCTTTAATTTGCTCAGTTTCAATGCTTCAAGATAGACAGGTAGACAAATGCTGGGTGTCCCAAAAATTGGAATTCGCCCTTTTCTCCATTAATAGAAAAGAACATAACATTAGCTTTTCTAAAACAAAATACAATCTACAAACCTTCATTGTTTATTTAAAAAGTGACGAGAGAAATTTAATAATCAGAAATAAGACATGTAGACACAGAAAGGTTTAATACATAGACAATAACAGGTTGACCCCCCTATATAAATAGGTAGACAGGTTTACCCATTGATAAATTCAGATAGACAAGTTGACCCTCCTAATTGTTCAGGTAGACAGATTGACCCTCCTAAATGTTTAGGTAGACAGGTTGACCCTCCTAAATGTTCAGGAGACAGGTTGACCCTCCTAATTGTTAAGGTAGACAGATTGACCCTCCTAAATGTTCAGGTAGACAGGTTGAACCCTCCTTAATGTTCAGGTAGACAGGTTGAACCCTCCTTAATGTTCAGGTAGACACGTTGACCCTCCTTAATGTTTAGGTAGACAGGTTGAACCCTACTGAATGTTTAGGAAGACAGGTTGACCCTCTAAATGTGTTCAAGAAAACAGGTTGAACCCACCTAAATGTTTAAGTAGACAGGTTGACCCTCCTTAATATTCAGGTTGACAGGTTGACCCTCCTGAATGTTCAGGTAGACAAGTTGACCCTCATAAATGTTCAGGTAGACAGGTTGACCCTCCTAAATGTTCAGGTTAGCTGGATCAGAAAGGAGAAGCATCCAGTTATCCTCTCAAGCGGAACTATTGCATTTACGTCGGACAACAGAGTATCAGTTTCTAACCATCCTGCTACTCAGGAAACTTTTGGTTCATTCAATTATATACAAGGGCTCACAAAAACATAAATTCTATAGACCTAAACAATCTGGAAAAATTCAATACAGATAATTTTTATTGCATAGGTTTGAGCAAAGAAAATGGTTTTGAAAAATCTTTTTGACGTCTGATATTTCATTTTGGTCTATTTATCTAGATTTTTGAAAACCCTGCATATTTCTTAATGCGTTATTTTAAACTGTATTGTATATTGCAGAGAAAAAAGCATATTATATTAAAAAATATTTTTTTTTTCGCGACAAGAATTTATTTTGAACACCAGCAAGAAAATATGCTGGATTTGCGAAATTTCAGCTTGAAAAATGTAGAAATCGACGCCATTGTTTTTTCTGACAAAAAAGTTCAAAAGGGTTCGAAATAAAAGTCACTATAAATAGTATACGTCTATTATTGTTTAATGGTTACAAAGTGTCCAAATATACTCTAATTATGACAGTGATGCAAACTTTTTACCTAATGGCACCCCCTCCTCTGTCACCCCTAGATTGAAACCTTTACAGTCAAAGTTTATTTTCAAAACAACTTTATAAAAGTGTGTTTAGTTTGTTGTTAAGGACTATGAACACTTGTTTTCCGAAACCACAATAAATAATTTAATAATATTTCTCGCAAAAACCGGGTTTATCAGTCATAAATTATAGGTGAAGTGTCACACACTTACAATTATTAAAATTCTTTCCAGAAGGTTTGGAGAAAGTATAAAAACGGTTTAAATGACCGTTTATATCATCTTTGCTTCATAATATCTTAAATGAATGGAGTCTTTGTCACAAACTCAAACTTTCTAATCCCTATATCTTTGCAACCTGATGGTGTAAAACTTTGTTAGTTCAAACGTAGATTGTTTGATCTATCAATATTCATCAAAGGTCTACGACATTGGGTTGAAAATCTATAAGGTTTTGAAAATTACAGTTTGTGGCCAGGGGCGGATCAAACCAATATCCCAGGAGGGGGCCCACATTTGCGCGGGAAAGCGCGTGAAACAAATTTGGCCCCCCCCTAAAAATTTAATAAAAAGCAGTAAATTCCAATTTCTTAGTTGTTAAAAAATAAAGGTTCACAAATCACAAAAACATTTCAAATACATAATTAAAATATTTACAACTATGCATGTGCGGATGTATCATGTGAGGCAGGCGCGCAACTAGGAGGGGGAAAATGAGAGCAATGCCTTATTAAGGGGGGAAAGCGCCCCCAACCCCCCCAATTAAGAAGGTTTGCCCCCCGAAGTCCGTAACAGATGGTTCATATAAAGTTTCCAAATAAGCGAATTTTCTCGATCTCCCAAACAATTATTTTGCCAACTTAAAAAAAAACTTCACCCAACTTGAAAAAAATATGACACCAAAGTAATTTTTTAGGGAAATTTTTATACCCCTAACTCTTAAAGGAAAGTGAAATTCCACTTTAACATTTTTCAATTCTCTACTCAAAGCTCAGATTCTTTTTTTGTCCCCCAATCTTGTTTAAAAAGAAATGCCACTTCATATATTTTAAAAATGCCCCGAAATAAAAATATTTCCCCCCAAATAAAGAAATTTAAGATTTCCCAATGCAAAAATTGGCCCAAACTAGAAAAATGCCCTGAAAATAGAGGTTTAAGATTTCCCAATGAAAAAATTGGCCCAAACTAGAAAAATGCCCTGAAAATAGAGGTTTAAGATTTCCCAATGAAAAAATTGCCCCAAACTAGAAAAATGCCCTGAAAATAAAGGTTTAAGATTTTCCCCACACTTTACACTTTACTGAAAAGAAAGCCCGCAAATAAAAATATTCAATTTTATTTTCGTTGTATCTTTTATCACTTGTTGTTTTTATTTCATATAATAAATTTCCTTAGGGGGAGGGCCGGCCCCCCCCCCCATCTGCAGGAGCTCAGGGGGGTGGGCCCGTGGGCCCAGGCCCTTACTTAAATCCGCCCCTGTGTGTGGCAAATACTCAATTCCTTTTCAATAATATTTACCAATCGGTAGATTCGGATTAAATCATACCATGAATTTATTTCTGTTTGAGCAAATAGATTAAATTTTGATACAATTATTGTTGTAATTCATTGTATTGTAATAATTTAGTTAAACCAGCAGAACTATAGAATATTGCTGTAAAGTAGGGGCAGGGAGATTCAATAAACATCAAATTCTGATTAAAATTTCAATACGGGTTCCAAATAATAAATGATTTTCCTTGAAGAATTATTGCAGGGTTTATGTAAAAAAAATCCACTTCAAGATTCCCTTTCAATCTTTAAAAAAACACCGATATTTTTATCTATTAAAATAGACACATTTAAGACATTTTACACATTACACATATTTACTTCTAAATTCATAATCCAAGACGGACATTAAAGGTTTATTTTCTTGTCAATGAATTCAACTTTTTTTTCCAACTGCTTTTCGAAATGTAATTTAGGAGTTTCTAATTTTTGCAAATGTATAGGATTTATTTCTGGAACCTGATAAATGTTTGAAGGAAATCTCCTATGGTTTTACTAAGTTTTATAATTTCGAAGATAAATCTCCTATGGTTTAATTAGTTTGGCGATTTCGAAGAAAATCTCCTATGATTTTATAAATTTTATGATTTCGAAGGAAATCTCCTATGGTTTTATAAGTTTCATGATTTCGAAGGAGATCTCCCATGTTTTTATAGAATTCATGATTTCGAAGGAAATCTCCTATGGTTTTATAGAATTCATGATTTCGAAGGAAATCTCCTATGGTTTTATAAGTTTCATGATTTCGAAGGAAATCTCCTATGGTTTTATAAGTTTCATGATTTTGAATATTATTTCGTTAGTCAAAATGACCAATGGAGTAAATCAATTTTTAATCCGTTTTTGAACCAAATATCTTATCAGGACTGGGAACTGAGTATAGATAGAGCTAGAACTAGTGATAGTGGTCCTTATGAGTGTCAGGTATACAATCTATATACAGGGTTTACCACAAAGGATGATACTTTATAACTGACGATCTGAAAAGCTTTTTATTTTGGTCATTTATTTCTTTGTTTATTAATGCTTTTTGATAATTTTTTCATTAACTTTAAATGCTTAAGAATAATTTTAAAAATGGTGTATAATCATTAGCTTCTTAGTTGTTGGTCTAGGAATGCTTAATTATAGCAATTAGTCTGGGTGTCTTTTTACTTGGAATGATCTAGACAAAAATTACACAAAAATTCAAACTGAAGATGAAGAACATAATGAAACTAAGAAACAGTCAATTATTCAGTTAAACATATCTTTATAATAAAACAAGACATTCGTTTAGACCGTTTGGGCTGAAATTTTTTGTGGACACTCATGAGTGGCCGGGGGGTGTTATGGGATAAAAAAATTCGAAAAATTTTTTTCTTCTTTTTTAACATTTTTTTAAACACTTTTTTATGACATTTTTTCAAATTTTTTTTTCAAATTTATTTCTTCCACAGGCAACGCCGGGCCCTTCAGCTAGTATATTATATATATTGCGCAGTAGTCTTTAAAAAATTACTAAAAAAATCGAAGAATTTCCTCATACTATATTATAATTTTTTTTGTTCATATGAATGGAAACCTCATCTTCTGTTCAATCCATGATTGTTTACCCCCTCTGTATTAAGGTCAACACGGATCCTAAACTGAATCTGGGATACAATCTGCGTGTCGTACGTGAGTAGTTTTCAAATATTTAAAACTATATTTCTACATCATTGGATTTTTGAAAAAAAAATTTCGACAATTTTAAATATCTTACTGGATTTTGCGACAATATTGGATATTTTTAGGAATTTTTGACAATATTGAATATTTTAAAGGATTTTTCGACAATATTAGATAATTTAAAGAATACATTGACATTATTGAACATTTTAAAGGATTTTTTGACAATATTAGATATTTTAAAGGATTTTTTTAACATTAGTGCATTTCAATTTTGACAATAATGAAAATTGTACAATATTGTTTTTTAGAATATATTTCGAAGATTTTTGGTGTCTTAAAATATAAATCGAATTAATAACGAATAAACTCAGACCATGCCTTGCAGTATGATTTAAAAATGGTTGCAGTGCGTCTTTAAGTTGGATTGGTTTGGTTAGCTCCGTGTATAAAGTGAACCTGCCAAACTTAATCTGCCAATTCTTTTACCATCAAACTGTCAATTGTATAATCTTCAAGAAAACAGAAATGATGGCTTCACTGCTTTCTTTCATCAAACATAAAATATAAAAAAGACTGGAAAGAAATATTAAAAATCGTCATTAATTAATCGGCAGATAATCTAATTATTCATAGTTCTTCATCTTAAATCTCCATTGTTTTTAAACAATCCCTGATTTTGTTCTTGTTTCTCTGTACAGGGTTATCCACAAAGGATGAGACTATAACGATGTGCTAAAACTCTATGACATTACTAGGTTAAATTCTGCCTTGAATATCTTTTAATGACTTTTATTATGATTGTAGGAAATCACTTCTCACCCCACTCTAAAAGTCGCATGATTCGAGCCGGTACAACATGTACTGTGTAAGCATTCAGTCGTACTGTCCAGTCTGGACTACCAGGGTGAAGTCTAACCAGCACGTTTTATGTAACAAATGTAGCCTGGCAAAATTAAAGTGCTGTTTGTATGTATCTCAAAAGTTAAAACATGGGGTATAGTCATGAAACCGGGGTTCATGCTTGGGGTGAAGAATTTTGTAAACATCCACATTTTCTGTTTTGTTTTAGATGAAAATCTTCATAAATATACACAACCCGCCGAAGGAAACTTGGGAGTTTCTTTTAATTTGCCGTCAAAGAAAATCTTTTACCAACTAGCTCTGTACATACTACATGTACACAGTACAGTGTATTGAGTGCAGCGTACATTGTACATTTTCGCGATAAAGCAATCATTTCTTTTTCATGTTAAGTTCGGTAATACATATATCTTATTTCTTTTATCTATCTATTCATAATCCTCATCCTAAGAATCAGCATAAAAACATAAATGTAACAAGTTCTTTTCCATCAGTCCAATCCATTCCAATATACACTTAATGTAAACATTCTATTTGCATTAATATGTATGAACTACATATATATGTGCATATTGAGTGCTTATCTTGTCTCATCAGATTTCGATGAATAAACTATATTTAAAGAATGTGTTTAGGAAAATCATTTATTAATAGTATAGGGAAAACATTACTTTTTCTTAAACACATAACTTAACATACAAAACAAATCAGAGGCAGTCTTTAAAAAAAAAAATCGTATATCTTTAAACCCTATGTCATAGACCTTAGATAATTCAAACTATGACTTCTGTTAAATCAAATAATCTAAATTTGAAATATCAACGGTTTCCATCATCTGGTTGTACAGATATAGGTATTAGATAATTGCGATTTGTGACAAAGACTCAATTCCTTTACATTCAAAAGATAATATAAAACTAATCATATAAAATTACATCTTAACATGTATATTGAGATATCTAGAAATTTTCTTATGCATTGTAAACAGCATGGTTTCAAATACTGGGTTTCAAAACGATACCCTGTCTTAAGTTTCGGGCGTGGGAGCTTATTTGTTTCTAGGTTAGAGTAGGGTTACAGTGTACAAAATTTAGCTTTTATAAGGCGCATAAAACATTCGTGTCCACTTTCATCAAAGGATTTGATTTATAAGATGTTATTTTAAAGTAGTAGAGTCTTTGCTACAAATTTAAATGTTCTAATCCTTATATCTTTGCAATCTGATGGTGTAAACCTTTGATATTTTAAACTTAGATTAATTTGATCTACCAGTATTCATATTTGCAAAGATATAGGAATTAGAAAATCAGACTATGTGGCAAATACTCGATTCCTTTCCCAGAAATTCATGGTAAAGGAATTGACTCTTTGCCACAAACTCTGATTTTCTAATCCCAATATCTTTGGAACCCAATGGAACCTTTGATATTTCAAACTTATATTTTTTGATCTAACAAAAGTCATAGTTTGAAATTTCAAAGGTTTACGACGTTGGAATCCAAAGATATAGGGATTAGAAAATCAGAGTTTGTGGCAAAGAGTCAATTCCTTTAATAAAGATCTGAGGGCAAAACTTTTGTATCTTAACCCTTCAGTCCAACTTTAGACGTTTTGATAACTCCCCGATATAAGGAGTTAAGCCTGAATTCGGAAGTTTGTGCACCGATTATAAAGTTTTGAAATAATAATATTTAACAGATTAAAAATCAGAACTATAGAGGAGCAACAAGTTAGTTCGGTTAGTTTGCTGTGTACTATTTAATAAACATTTTAACTCAATCCATAAGAAAAGTAAAAAATCATGATATAATATAACAAGAAAACCATGCTGTTTCATGGTTAACTAATAACTATGAGCCAAAAAAAATGTATGGCATGATATTTAGCTAAAATTTTTATCTTATTAACAACCTTGAACCCCTCCCCCNCCCCCCCCGCCTGCCTCAACACTAGAAGTGAATGATTTGTTTATGTTGTTTTCTTAGACTCCGCAATTTCTATAAAGATTCCTTTCAGCTCTTTCACTATTTATCTATCTATCTAACATTTTCTTTCCTTGCTTAAAATTATTGCAACCAAAAGCAAGTGTTTTATTTTTAAAGTTGTAATTTTATACCCTCATTTCGAATTTAATTCTTTTTGACTATTTCGTTGCAATAATTAAATACGTCCAATATCGGACCATATTTGATCTTACCATTTTCTCCATTGCCATTTCCTCTATTGCTCTTTAATTTATTACCATTTTCTTCATTGCTAATTATTTTGTGCCATTTACTCAAATATTGCCATTTTCTATTCATTGACTTTTTGCTCTATTGCTCTTTCACTTATTAAGTTTTCTTCATGCTAATTAATTTTTGCCATTTACTCTAATATTGACCCTTTCTCCATTGCTATTTCCTCTATAGTTCTTTCACATATAATCGTTTTTTTCATTGCTAATTCTTTTTTGCCATTTACTCTATTTACCCTGAACTAGCCGGGGCGTTCAGTCTCTTCTATTTAGATTCAATTGTGTTTTGTCCATAATCCAACAATCTTTAAACTTAGGGATTTGTTTTTTTAAACAAAAGAATTTTACCGACAAAAAATTATAAAATGGAAAACTGAAAAATTTATGTTTAATAAGTAAAATAGTGATCGAAAGTCACAGTCTTGCAGGGATAGGGACCGAACTGTTAAATTCACGTATATTGCCTTTTCCTTCACTGCCATTTCCTTTATCATAATTTATCCTAATAACTGTCATTTCCTTTATCATAATTTTGTCCTTTTAACTGCCATTTCCTTTATCATAATTTTGTCCTATTAACTGCCATTTCCTTTTATCATTTTTTTAAAATCTAGATATTTATTTACGTATCATTATAGTTTACAAGATTGTTAATATGGATTTAACACAAAACTTTCTTACGATATTTTCATGTACATACAATTATAAATCGATAAGGTCAAAATTTAATTTTAACAGATAAATCTATTTTCGTTTTTTCATGTCTGGATTGCTGGTAAATTTATATTCAAGTATTGGTAAAGCAGCAGTTCGAGAGAAAAACCTACATTATATATATTAAAGGATAGCATACTTTTATGAAATCTGACTGGGAGATACTACAAACACAGTGTGTGTTATCTCTTATTGGAAAATGCTACAATTAACAGTGTGCATGCTTTCACATAAACATACACGGGAGCGAGTTTCCATTTTTACATTAAAGAAAATTATTGTGAGCTTCATAACGAGGAACATTGACCGTTCCTTGTTAATATTGAGGCTACATTTTAAGCGAACATATATTAATTCGTTAATATTGAGGCTACATTTTAAGCGAACATATATTAATTCGTTAATATTGAGGCTACATTTTAAGCGAACATATATTAATTCGTTAATATTGAGGCTACATTTTAAGCGAACATATATTAATTCGTTAATATTGAGGCTTCATAAGCAAGATGAAAGAAGGAACACAATAATTAAGAAGTATACGAGGGAACATAATAATTAAGAAATGTACTAAATGCGAACATTGCTGGTTCGTCTTTAATAATATTGAGGCTTCATTAGCAAGATGTCCGAAGGAACGTAATAATTAAGAAATATACTAAATACGAACATTGATGGTTCATCGTTAGTATCTTTTAAGCCAAAAAGCAATTATGTTAGCTCTTTAGTATTGAGGCAGCATATTTTATGAAAGGTAATAACTAGGACCATTGAGGTTCCGAGATAACGTTTCATCTATAAAAACAAGGATGGTCGACAGAAAGAGAGAGAGACAAACTCTTCATCTTGTGTCATCTTGGTTTCTCGGCGTTGCATTTTGTCGCCGTTTTCTGCTAGTTCCGGAGGCGTTTCAGTTCCTTTTATCATAATTTTGGCCTATTAACTGCCATTTCCTTTATCATAATTTTGTCCTATTAACTGTCATTTCCTTTATCATAATTTTGTCCTATTAGCTGTCATTTCCTTTATCATAATGTTGTCCTATTAACTGCCATTTCCTTTATCATAACTTTGTCCTCTTAACTGCCATTTCCTTTATCATAAGTTTGTCCTATTAACTGCCATTTCCTTTATCATAATTTTGTCCTATTGACTGCCATTTCCTTTATCATAATTTTGTCGTATTAAATGCCATTTCCTTTATCATAATTTTGTCCTGTTAACTGTCATTTCCTTTATCATAATTTTGGCCTATTAACTGCCATTTTCTCATTTAAAATTTACCAACAAAGAGAATAGAATATATATTAGAGGGGAATTTACTAGAAAAAAGTGCAAAACGGCCATTTTGTTATTCTGTTTCCATACTGCAGGTGTACTTCACATATTTATGCTATATAACCTTTTGGGCCCTGGAATATCATTTTAGAAAATCTAAAATTAATGTTAAAAGAAAACTAAATTATGAAATAGGCTGGTTTCATAATTGACCAATGATCATTTCACATAAACATTATGCCTTTCACTTTACAAACGATGATTTTCCGTTATAACTATAAATCAAATAATGTTATTTATTCACCTAATTCATTATAAAGTTTATTTAACAGTTTAAAAAATTCGAAATTGAAATGAATAGTCTAGGGAACATACTGTATTAATTAAATCTACTGCATATAATTTGTGAAAATTTACATGATTTGTACACTTTGAACTCCCTTTCAGGCTGAAAGGGACTGAAAAAAATCATACTGAGAGATTCTCTAAATTCCCCTCTGATATATATTCTATTTTTACCAACCAAGGGGGATGACAGTTCTCTACCTATGTGCTCAGTTAGCTGTACTGTACACCTCCAACTGTTTACTAATATTGATATACAATAGGTTAGGCCAGAATCAGCTTATAATAAACAAATATGCAGTACGCTCTCGGTATAGTTGATGACCTACACAATTAGTAAAGGATTACTGTATATCATCACTCTATACACTATAACCTCGTTGTTACCAACGCATAGGCTCTGTACCTGATTGGTCACGATATTTTCAACTAAGGTGGTTAAAGCAGCTAGAACACATTGGTAGATAGAGACTGCACTACCAAGAGGTGCATCAATTAGTATTACCGGGTCGACTTTAAAGTGTTGCAACGCCTTGGAGTTTTCTCCCCACATTATCTCAATTATAACTTCTTGAAGCCCTATATAGGCGTGCATGAACATTTATATCAATTTTAGCATGAGAACTTGCAACCTTCGCAGAGGTTAGGGGCTTCAGGGTCTGAAAATTGCAGCTAGGCCGTTGGGTTTGGTTACATACAATTTAGCAAGTAATGCATTTAGTCATAGAGAAAAATGACATGATAAAGAAAATACCGATAGAGAAAATTGTAATAATTTTTACTATAAATAAGATCAAAATATTGAAAATTTAAATAAAAAAGGATTCAGGTGGATTTTTTACCAACGCAGAAAAGTGTATAGGGTTCAAGATATGAGACAGCGTCTATGAAAGAATATGCATGATAAATTATGAAAATGGAGTAAATTTTGTAAAATCATATTCTATGTAAATATGGGAAAATATTGGTGGACAAAATATGAAATATTATCCTATCTTTTCAACTTTCTCAACCCTAGAGCCCACACTGAGTCGCAGGTGGGACTAAACTAATATAAAACTAAAATGATCTAGATTTAAAGATTTTCTTGAATACTCATTCATACCACTGCAAACTTTTATAAACAGTTTAAACTTTAAATAGAAATCGAAAAGGTTTAAAAGAAATTCATATAAAAAATTGAAACAATAACGCGTCGTGTAACGGTTCATAGGATTAAGTGCATGAATTTTTAATTTTACAAATGAATGTAAATAGCGTAATTAAAATACATAATTAAAATATTCTTTATTTGTTTAATAATTACAAATTTTTTAAATTTAATTCTAAAGTCATACTTTTTTAATTATAAGCAATATAAAATATAAACAATTTGTCATTTAAACATAAATTGTCAAAGTTTTAACCAGAGATTTTACAGAAATATCTTTAAAACAACCATTTCTCTTTCAAACAACCATTTCTCTTTAAAAATGCAACCTTTTCAAGGGACTGTTTAGGAAAAATGAAAGGGGGTACAATCTCAGGCGTTAAACGATGCATTTCATTGTTACGTGATACAGGCGGAAATCACGTGACCAGTATACTGCTCTGCCATTTGCTGAAGTTCTGGTGTCGTAATAAGGACTATAAAGACTATATGTAATAATATTATCAATTTCATTAAAAATGCAAAATAAAAATAAAAATTATAATAGGAGCAAACCTGAGATTCTCAGGCTCCTGTGGAATTGGAAGATTGGTTACGTATTTGTTGAATATGATCTGTTTTATGCTACACCTTTATACAAAATTGCATATATATGAATTTTCGTATACATTTGACACAGTTTTATATAAATTTCTCGAGACAGGAACATCAGATAGATGTCAATGTATCGTCAACGCCTGAGATTCTCAGGTTTCATTCTATACCCCTTTCATATTTCCTTTACAGTCCCTTTAAACACATTCTAATTTTCAAACCAGGGCAAAAATCTAGTCCCTGGCTTTGATACTGGGTGTTCCAATAAACATGGGAATTAAGTGACTAATTCTAGATCGTCTTTGCAAAGAATTAGCATTGTAATACCTGATTTGAAAACCATAATCTATTTAAGTCTGCTAGAGTTTATTTTATAAAAACGGTGAATGGCTCCAATAATGTGACTATAATCACTCTACAAGATGAACAATGAGGACAAACATGTTTACTGTCATTTTCATGTTATACACCCGTATGCAGTCAAAACATAAACAAACAAATTGTAAACATTGCAGGCATAAACCCTACGGATTACAGCTTTCCAAGTATGTATCACTAACTAAATCAAAGAATTATTTAAAAAGACGATATCGAAATTGTCACTTAACTCCCATGTTTTTTGGTACACCCTGTATTAATTCAGGAAAGTTGTGCTTGAAAGAATTTGCAATAAATACTGAAGTCACGGCTACTGTGTTTTCTGTGATATCCTGTAAATGACAATTCAAAACTTCACTAAGTTTATTCCAATACAGCACAGACATAATTTGCCCTTGTAAGTTCCGTGTGAAATTTCTTAAACTGGAGGGTCAATGCCATAATTTATATCTCAGCTCCAGCTGTGATTTAAAGATGACAATCTCTATATTTTTATGGTTCAGCTGCTGCAGCTGTGATTCAAGGGTGACAAGCTGTTTATATCTTTATATTTTAGCTGCTGCAGTTTGATTTAGGGATAACAAGCTGTCAATATCTTTATATTTCAGATGCTGGAGTTGTGATTTAAAAATGCCAAGCTGTCAATATCTTTATGCTTCAGCTGCTGCAGTTGTGATTTAAGGATAATAAGCTGTCTATTTCTTTATGTTTCAGCTGCTGCAGTTGTGATTTAAGAATGACAAGCTGTCTATATCTTTATATTACAGTTGCTCCAGTTGTGATTCAAGAAGAACAAGCTCTAAAGATATCTTTCTATTTCAGTTGCTGCAGCTGTGATTCAAGGAGAACAAGAGCTATTAAATATCTTTAAATTTCAGCTGCTGCAGCTGTGATTCATGGAGAACAAGAGCTATTAAATATATTTATATTTCAGCTGCTGCAGCTGTGATTCAAGGAGAACAAGAGATATTAATTATCTTTATATTTCAGCTGCTGCAGCTGTGATTCAAGGAGAACAAGCTGTTTATGTTAAACCTGGAAGTAGTATCAGTCTCAGGGATAAAATATTATCACAAAGCTGTGATCTTTTACCCCCCCCCCCCCGTTTTCGTCATTAGAGTAGTCTTTGACTCTCCCCCCCCATTTCCCCAGCCATTCTTACAAATTTCGTGATACCAGCCACAAGCCTGCAGAAAATTCTATTCTTTTTTTTATTTGTTGAGTCTATAATAAAGTATTAGATATGCTGGTGCAGGATTTAGATTAATATTAATTATTGTAAAGTTGCACCATCAGCTTGTATTCTGTTCCACCAGCTAGTATTCACTGGTTCAGGTAATAATATAATACCAATATAGCTAGAAATATAGGTAATAATATAATACCAATATAGCTAGAAGTATAGGTAGTAATACAATACCAATATAGCTAGACTTATAGGTAATAATATTAAACCAATATAGCTAGCAGTACCGGTAATAATACATTACAATATAGCTAGAAGTATAGGTAATAATATAATACCAATATAGCTAGAAGTATAGGTAATAATACAATACCAATATAGCTAGAAGTATAGGTAATAATTCAATACCAATATAGCTAGAAGTATAGGTAATAATACAATACCAATATAGCTAGAAGTATAGGTAATAATACAATACCAATATAGCTAGTAGTATAGGTAATAATACAATACCAATATAGCTAGAAGTATAGGTAATAATACAATACAATATAGCTAGAAGTAAAGGTATTAATACTATACCTTCTTGATTGATTCTTGATCAGATTGTGCATATGAATAAAAAAGTTTATAGATTAATATTAAACTTTTGTTATTAGAAATTCAGTGATAAAGTTTGAATTTAAGACGGCACTTTGTTGAGCTTAGATCTCAGATTGAATACAATATAATTATTTTACCTCGCTGCAGGTAGAGTGGCTTTAAACATGATTGTCAGAAAGGCAGAATTATACTGATTATCAATGGGAACGGAAATATTTAATGTTTGTCGGGGTGTTATAGTCTGTAAATAGTGTTTTCTATATTCTGTGTTTCCAGTGCTATTCGTTCTATATTCTGAGTTTCCAGTGCTCTACGTTCTATAGTCTGAGTTTACAGTGCTATTCGTTCTATATTCTGAGTTTTAAGTGCTATTCGTTCTATATTCTAAGTTTCCAGTGCTATTCGTTCTATATTCTAAGTTTCCAGTGGTCTGCGTTCTATATTCTGAGTTTCCAGTGCTCTACGTCCTATATTCTGACTTTACAGTGCTCTATGTTCTATATTCTGAGTTTCTAGAGCTATTGGTTTTATATTCTGAGTTTCTAGAGCTATTGGTTTTATATTGTGAGTTTCCAGTGCTATTCATTCTATATTCTGAGTTTACAGTGCTCTACGTTCTATATTCTGTGTTTACAGTGCTATTCATTCTATATTCTGTGTTTCCAGTAATCTACGTTCTATATTCTGAGTTTCTAGAGTTATTCGTTCTATATTCTGTGTTTCCAGTGCTATTCATTCTATATTCTGAGTTTCCAGTAATCTACGTTCTATATTCTGAGTTTCTAGAGTTATTCGTTCCATATTCTGAGTTTCCAGTGCTCTACATTCTATATTCTGAGTTTCTAGAGCTGTTCGTTCTATACTCTGAGTTTACAGTGCACTACTTTAAAGCAGCAATCTCTGTTTTTTTGTTTATTGTTTGTCCGATCACAATTTATGAACCCCTGGACCGATTTTCCTCAAATTTTGATAGGATAGGAGAACTTTGTTTTGAGGTTCTAAGTGAAATGGGTGGACTTAATTTAATTCAAGTTCGGATAAACGGCGGGAGTAACTATGAGTACCCTGGACAACTCTGGGTTTCCTAGCTTGTATTCTATATTTCTCATCTCCTACTTCTACTCAATTAGCTAATGTTAGTGAAGAGTATTTGTATAAAGTAGTGACTACTCTGCTTGTAAAAGGTAGACAAACAAATTGGGAAAGATTATACTGGAAGAAAATGGAGGAAAGACAATTCTTCAAATATTTTTTTGTAAAATATTTATATTTATGTAAGGACTACCCACAACAAATGAGACTTCAAAACGACTATACGAATATACTTTATTTTCATATATTTATTCAAAACTAGAAATTCAAGGCGCTTCGCGCCCTTCTTTCTAGGCTTTTAGGGCGCTTCGCGCCCATCTTCTATTTTAATTGTGAACATGTTCTTTTTGTTTACATTTCAAAACAAAGAAGAAAAAAAATTTGCGGATTTAAAAAAAAAATTCGCGGATTTTCAAAAATTTAATTTTTTTTACAAAATTCAAAAACTTTAAAACACAAATTTTTAAAATTTCAATCATTCATAAACCTTTCCTGGGGTCCCTAGATGTCCCACAAAAAATTTGGGCCCGATCGGTTCAGCCGTTTTGACGTTTATTGGATACAAACAAACAGACAGACAGACAGACAGACAGACAAGCCAAATTTATATATAGATTACATTTCAACAGTTTACGTAAGGGTATCTGTATGTAAAGCAAATTTACATAGATATTTATGGGGCTTGAATATTTCTTTCGTGACTTATCATAAAATTGTATTATGATTCTAATGTTACTTGTGCATAATTGTTGATTTGTAAACAAGGAAAATCTAGGATTTTTACAGTTTTATGAACAAAAAGGTAAATACTTGTTTGCTTTTCATATTTTTATATCTTCTCTGGCATTCTAGGAATTTTTTTTGTGGAACCAATTTTTGAAATTTGTTTTCTTATTGAACCATTTCTTGAAATTTGTTTTCTTATTGAACCAGTTTTTGAAGTTTGTTTTCTTATTGAGCCATTGCTTGAACTTTGTTTTCTTGTTGAATCAGTTCTTGAACTTATTTTTCTTGTTATATCAGTTCTTGAAATTTGTTTTCTTGTTGAACCAGTTCTTGAACTTTGTTTTCTTGTTGAACCATTTATTGAACTTAGTTCTTGAACTTATTTTTCTTGTTATATCAGTTCTTGAAATTTGTTTTCTTGTTGAACCAGTTCTTGAACTTTGTTTTCTTGTTGAACCATTTATTGAACTTTGTTCTCTTATTGAGCCATTGCTTGAACTTTGTTTTCTTGTTGAACCATTTCTTGAACTTTTTTTTCTTGTTAAACCAGTTCTTGAAATTTGTTTTCTTGTTGAACCAGTTCTTGAACTTTGTTTTCTTATTTCCTCTTTTGTACATCTTTCTTGAAATGTGTCTTCTATTTAACATCTCCCTCTACATATGAATTCTTTTGATCACATTTCTTAAAATGTGCATTTTTTAAACATATTCCCTGAAATTTTGTCTTCTTCTGAACACTTTCCCTACAATATGTTTCCTTTTGAACACGTTCCTTGAAATGTGCCTTTTTTAACATATTCCTTAAAAATTGTCTTTTTTTGAACATCTTCCCTTCAATATGTCTTTTTTTGAACATCTTCTCTTCAATATGTCTTCTTTTGAACATCTTCCCTTCAATATGTCTTCTTTTGAACATCTTCCCTTCAATATGTCTTCTTTTGAACATCTTCCCTTCAATATGTCTTCTTTTGAACATCTTCCCTTCAATATGTCTTCTTTTGAACATCTTCCCTTCAATATGTCTTCTTTTGAACATCTTCCCTTCAATATGTCTTCTTTTGAACATCTTCCCTTCAATATGTCTTCTTTTGAACATCTTCCCTTCAATATGTCTTCTTTTGAATATCTTCTCTTCAATATGTCTTCTTTTGAACATCTTCCCTTCAATATGTCTTCTTTTGATCATCTTCCCTTCAATATGTCTTCTTTTGAACATCTTCCCTACAATATGTCTTCTTTTGAAGATCTATTCTTGAAAATATTCGAATCTTTCTTCAAGTTTGTTTAGTTGCTTGGAACTCACTCTTGTCTTAACTTCTTTAAAGGAATTGAGTCCTTGCCACAAATTCAGTTTTTGTAAAACCTATATCTTTGCAACCTTATGATGTAAACCTTCGATATTTCAAACCCACATTATTTGATCTAATTGCATTCATAGTTTGAAATATAAAAGGTCTACGACATTGGGTTGCAACGATATTGAAATTAGAAAATCCGAGTTTGTGGCAAAAACTCAATTCCTTTACTCTTTAGAGATTTATCTTCTTTATTCAGTTTATTTCTCTGTGCATAATTGTTTTGATGATGATTGAGCAGTTACTGAATATAAATATCATTTAAACAAAATAAAACAGGCTGGACCAACATAGTTCAAGCCAACTACATACTTGGCTCCCACTCATTCTAAATATTTTTTAATGTTTAAAAATCTTTTTTTTTTAAATAAGCCCGGAAACTATTCTCTGGGTTAAAAAAATAATGATCTAGTGGAAGCATTTACCCGGAGAATATACTCCTTGAATCTTACCCCCCAGCCTTGATATGATTAGTAACTAAAAATTCCTAATGCGTAAAAGAAATATGTATTATAATCTTCGAAAACCTTTTTTCTGGGTCAGTATGATACAGTATGACACTTCTGGGTAAAGGATGACTTTTACTTTATTTACTTTCAGGGGCGCGGCAAAATATAATTTTATAGTTAATAATTAAAATTAAACAAAGTTTTTTCTCTCTTTTTTTACGCTTTAGATGGTTTAAACTAATGCCAATATTCCTTACATCGCCTCTTGATTATTCCTCCCATGTCCACTTTTATCTTCTTTTTCACACTCAATTAATTTTTCTTTTTTTATCTCACCTCGCCTTTTCTTCTACAAAAAAAATCATAACATTAACGCGAGACAATTTATCAGAAAAAGGGAATAGACCTTTTTGTTGGCAAAAAATACTTTTTTCATAAGACTTTGTAAATATCTGGAACTCCTTTTTCTGAAGTAAATATAATCTTGTAAATGTATATAAATGATGTGGCAAATAAACTAAACAAATGTTTAGCTCGAGCGGAGCAGAAATTCAAGTATAAGACTAAATCCGTTTTTATCAGATTTTCTTTTTTTTGTGGGGGGCGGGGTGTGTGAGACGAGACTAAAAATGTAACTTCTTTACGCTCGAGTCTTTCTTACGCCCAGTTCTCTGTTTGGGTCTAAACCTTCCCTTTTCAAATCACAATGGCTTCTGATTGATTAAACAAATAATAAATATTTTAAACTTAAACATCTATTTTTGAAGGCCCAAGCCACAGACTAACACAGATTGTTCATATGCTCTACCTAGATTGTCTAGTGTCCCAACACACCATGATACAGTTCCTTGAAAGCTTTTTTGACTGCAATATATCGGCCACTTGTTGTATATAATACCCATTTACAACGTATTCCAATTTTTAACTCGAAACATAAAATTTTTGAATTTAGTCTATTTTTAAAGATTTTGTGTTTCGAATCAAAAGGATCCTTAAATATCCCTGAATACAGATATCTGCTGATTGGTCGTGTACAGTACTTGTAATTATACACAATAGAACCCATGGTGTGGAAAATATCGTATACTTATCTCTGTTAATCTCTTATCTCTGGACCAATCCTTCAAGCAGAGTGGGTTTACATAAAACCGAGTCAAACTGGGAAATAGCAGGGCTTTCATCGGGTTTATGTTTTTAATATTTCAGTTCAGATCAAAAAACTTTCCCTTCTACCGTTCTCACTCCAATAGTACTTACTTCCTGAGTTAGTTTCCTCTTGAAGTATATGCAAGGTTATAATGCAAGGAAAGTTAATTTCAGTTGTGTATACTCTGCGTACATATTGAAACCAGTTTTCTCTGGGCGGAATTTGTAAACAAGAATAGATGCATCAGTGTTCGTTTAGTATCCGAGGGGTTAAACGCATTAAATTTTGAAAATTTTGATAATTCACATAATAGTTTCATATGACCAGAATATTTCATTGATTTTTTATTTGAAAGATGGATTCCATGTCAGGCTGTGACATCCGTCCTGTGTTACATTGCAGTACAAAAGATGCGTACACCACTGAAATAACTTTCCTTGCATTATAACCTTGAATATATGAAAGTATTAATATAAAAGTTTTGCGAAGATGGTTCCTGAGTAAAAACCTTTTCACGGACTCTCACTCACATTATCATATCAATTTACCAATATATGAGGGATAGATAGATAGATAGATAGATAGATAGATAGATAGATATATAGATAGATAGATAGATAGATAGATAGATAGATAGATAGATATTGACTAAGCTATTTTCATGATTTTATCTATATAAATGGAAATCTAGCATATATTGGCGTAAAAGTGTAAAAATGTAGAAACCCCCAGAAATGTTTGTTTACAAAATGTGTACTGCAGTTTCTGGGTGAAATGTAAACAATGATTGTCATTGAGCTCTATCCCTCACATTAAATTTTATTAAATTTTTTTACAAAAAAAGACTTACGCAGTTATTTAATCTAAAATTGAGTGCCAAAATTTTGATAGATTTTTGAGTATAAACATTTGTAAGGAAGTATTTTTGGTAGAAAAAAAATAATTATTTTTATGATATTTTTATCCCCAAAAACTTGAAGACAATTAAGTGATTGTGGTCTGATCAAACACTTTGTGGTTGGACAATATATATAACTCAGTCACACAGATAGTTTATCACGATATTTTTCTTTTAGGAGATTTGGTTTTAGGGTTTTATAGAATATCTGAAAAGTTTTTTTCATGTATCATGTGCTTTACAAAAATGTTATGTTTATTAGAACAAGATTTTTTTAATACATTTCATCCATGTAACAAGATCTTTTAAAAATACATTTCATCCATGTAACAAGATCTTTTTTTAATACATTTCATCTATGTAACAAGATCTTTTTTAAATACATTTCATGCATGTAACAATATCTTTTTAAAATACATTTCATCCATGTAACAAGATCTTTTTTAAAAAACATTTCATCCATGTAACAAGATCTTTTTTAAAAAACATTTCATCCATGTAACAAGATCTTTTTTAAATACATTTCATCTATGTAACAAGATCTTTTTTAAATCAAGTACAGAGTTACCCATACAACAAATGAATTTAGTGGGAATTTTATGTTGTCGTTTTTTGGTCCAGATGGCATTTTTTGAGAACACAAAAATCGTTGCCGCTTATTTTCAGACACATACGGTAGAAACCAGAAAACCTTGGAAGAGGAAAACGACATTAAAACACTAATTATGTGTATTATGTTGTATAAGTAACTTTTAAAATAAATTATTTAATTTTTAAGTTGGCCTTTTTACATAGCACAATTTTTGTGTCTATACTGTTCATTATAGGACTATTTTTAAAGTCATAACTTGAGTCTAAATGTTGTCTTCATATTTCAGAGTTTTCTGATTCTTCTTGAATACGTCTTGTGAACTTGAAAAGTTCAAAAGACGTATTTATATTTCTAAGATATAGTTCTAAACAGTTTTTAAAAAATACTTTAATGTCATTTCTCCATGTTTTCTGGAACACCCTGTATTGAATGAATGTTATAATGAATGTTATATTTATTCCAGAGATGGCCGGCTTCTAAACCTGGGATCCCCACGCGGAGGGGTCAGCCTAGAGAACGAGAAAACACCGCAGTACACGCGCAGTACACTTCTTGTAACACGAGCTGTACCCGACGATAGCGGCAACTATACATGTACTCCAACCAGCGGACATCCAGCATCTGTTACAGTTCATGTTCTAGATGGTGAGTACTTAAAAGTACATAAAGAGATTGTTGACGCACTTCCAAATGACACTCTATTTGTAGAGTGGCGTTTCAGATTCACAACGGTACCCTTCACACCTTTGACTGAACAAGAATGACGGAGTTTTATTCGGAGAAACCCTTCTAACTTTGTTTGCAAGGTGTTAAAATATATTATCACTAACTTTCCGTTAAAAACAGCAAATCAATATTTTCAATCGAATTTTCTAGAACTGCGGTAAACCTAAAATATTGCTGATTTATTGGAAACGTATGTGAAATTAGCTGCGGAGAGTTTATATATTCTACAAAGGAATTGAGTCTTTGCCACAAATCCCAATTTTCTAATACCTATATCTCTTTAATATTTCAAACTTTGATTATTTGATCCATCAGAATTCATAGTTTGAAATATCTAGGGTCTACAACATTGGACTGTAGAGATATAGGGATTAAGAAAGCAGAGTTTCGGGCAATGACTTTCCTTCAATTTCCAGTTTTTGCACAACTTTTAGAGATAAAAACACGGATGTCGCTGTCATCTTTTATCAGAAAAAAGTTTAAAGGTACTGTTGCGAATCGGAAATACCACTCTAAAAATAGAAGTTCATCTGAAGCTATGTTTACTCTCACAATAACTACATTTTAATAAAAACCTTTTACACTGAAAATTGAAGAAAGCGAGGTGAAATAAATCCGTGAGTTTTTAATGTAAACTTGTAAAACCATCAGACCAAGAACTTTTAGAGCTCAGGATTCTTTTCTTGGAGATATATTGATGTACAGTGTACAGTATATCTAGATAGGGGGGGGGGGGGCCCTA